AAATACATGTAAAAATTTTTTTTTTCAAATTTCTAATGCTTACCCACCTTTTACAAAATTGCAAATCGGTTTGATGGACCTTGTGGTGAATTTCACGCTCTTCGAAATTATATTCATTATGAGTGAGAAATCATAATAATTCTAAAAAAAGTTCTTAGGGTAGGCAAATATAATGGTAATCAATAGAAAAAATTAATCTAAATAACATTATGAGTTAGTATTTATCAATTTCTTACCTTTTTGAGGTATAAAAATGGCTGTAAATTCATTAAATATTGGTCGGATAACTTTTTTTTATGAGTCAGCCCTTTTTTTCTCCCTACTTTTGGCGGTTTTCTTGAAAAAATTGAAAACAATTTTTTTTTCAAAAACTGTACTTTGACGACTCCTACTGGTGAATCAGTGCGAGTTACACAAAAAACTCTCAAGCAATTTCGAAGAGCATGAAATTCTCCACAAGGTCCATCAAACCGATTTGCATTATTGTAAAAGGTGGGTAAGCATTAGAACTTTAAAAAAAAATTTACATGCATTTTAAATGGTAAAACTTGATATTAACAGCTCAAACTTGATGAGATTTTTTTTTTCTTTATGTAGATCAATATTTTGCTTGAGTACCGAAAAAAAAAACTGCGGAAATGAATTACCCTAATCCTGACATGTATATATTTTCTATATTTTTACAAAGGAAGTCATTTTTTAATTTTTCAAATCGTTTGTAATAAAATGTAAAATAGCTATAATAGTCCTAGAGCCAACGTGCAGATGTGTGACGTATTTTCTTACGACTAAATTTATTATTAAATTGTGCTATAATACGTGTCCAATGAATTCACGAAAGTGCGACGTTCGGACTGGGGCGCTTAGGTAGCTATAGGCACTACAAGTGGTACGTGCCTTTCAAAAACTTGACTCATTTTCTTAACATATTCGTTATGTTCATTCGACGATAAGTGCCCACCTACAAGAAATATTAAACCTTCCACCAATTTCGCTGGGCCATTTTCTCTCTCCAATCTTTTAAAGTAGTACGTGAGTGGGCATGCACGTGACTTATTTTCTTATTGCTGAGTTTTGGTTTATTTTCAAGTTTGTATTATTTTTCACAAAATTCACTTCCTCCGCCATTTTCGCTGAGCCATTTTTCTCTCCAACATTTTAAAATGTTGCGTGAGTGGGCAAGCGCGTGACTTACTTTCAAAAAGTGAATGCTTTTACCAAAGCAAGATAAAAATGATACCTTTTCACTGTAATAGCCATTAAAAATATCATGTCCAACGAAAATAATGAATTTAAAAAAATATGAAACATAGAAACGTAATAACTAAGTTTTTGCCAAAATGGATATAAATAATCAATAAGGTGTTTTTGAGGTCACTAAAAACGAATTTTAATATTTACCGATTTTTATATTTTCATAATTATGTATTATTCAATGTGCTTGTTCATAAATCTTAAATTTGGCCATCTTGCATTAACATATTGGTTTAATTAGTTTTTGAAATTTTTCAATCAAAATATATTATTAGCATTGTTTCTTATGACATTATACAATACAATTTAGACCTTAAAAATGGCTAGTAAAGATTTTTAAATTCTGTAAGCGAATTCATTCTCAGCGACCTCAAAACCTGGTCAAAAATACTTTGTCAAGTTATTGCGTTATATGAAACCATTATTTATTTATTTTTGTTTTACTTCTTTATTTTCGTTGGACACTAAAAACGGACCAATATTCTTATTGGACACTAATTCAGTGAAAATCTTTTGATACAAGAATTCAGTTTGGAAAATAATCAGAAAGACTTTTCATTTTTATTTTAAAGTGTCCAGTTCAATGAATATTTTTAACCCTCGTGGTTGAACGCCCTAGAAGGGACAAATGTTATCTTAGAATCTTAAATTGCGTTACTTTTGATTTTAGTGCCCAGTCGCGAGAAAAAAACTTACATATTATAAATAATTTAATTCACAAAACATAATTTATTGAAAAATGATCATTTAACAAATTTTCTCTACTACATTGAATCAAGATTTGTTTAAATAGGAAAATCCATGAGGGGCATCTACCCTCCCTTGTCCCCATTTGTACGCCCATGCCAGTAATTATACAGTAACTTAAAAAATATTTTTTGTAATATTTTTAGGAAAACTTTATTGAATGCAAACAATGATTCATGAAGTGTATACAAAAAAGATGTAACGAAATTAATAAATATGTTGTAATAATTACAATTACCGATATTTTTATGCAAATTAGAGTTACTTCCTTTAACGATATCTATATTTATTGACTACGGAGTGAATAAGGTGAAAATTGTCGCTTTTGTAAGGCTATATGTAGACAAACAATGTGATTTGTTTTAAGTACCTAGCTAGGTATCTATTAGATTGAGATTGTAGCACAGTTTAAAACGAGCACTCGCGCAATTTATACATTTATTTTTAAATGAGTTACTTTGCATTTTTCCCATCATTCATAGTTACTATTAAGTGAGAAACTAATTAAGTACATCACTGAGGCAAATATTTTTGTTATTTTCAAATCTTCATTCATATCTTATACCCATAGGAATGAAAATTAAAATAATACAAAATGTAAATTGGTTTATTATTAATATTATTAATAATAGTATCATAATGTCTCAAGGATTATTCAAAGTGTTTAATATATTATTATAGGTATATATTTTTGAACTTACAGTTAGTTGTTTACAGTTTTATCGCATATATCTTTTACTTATATAAAGATTTTTTTTTTATAAAATTCTAATTACTTCGCTCTCCTCCACCAACGGGTCATCTTATTAGAACTTCATTATCATCCATCATCACTAACTGCTTTAGTTTTATAACTGTTCAGTATATCGTTTTTTCACACCTAGAGACTACATTCAATCCTTTAAAAGCATATTTTCATTTTTATCGTAGGTACCTAGTACCGACATAAGTAGACGTCAATTTATAAAAAATTAGTGGCTAATGACTTCCGCAGGCCAGCAAGATTATTCTGGCTATTCATTAAGTAATTTTAGACGAAATTCAACCATTTATTTTTATTAAAAAACTTTTTTCTACACCTAAATCATAAAATTTTAATAAATTATCATTAATGAACCAAGAGTTTTTGCTACAGATTTATGGTATATACACTTTACAATAACATTTACAACCTAAAAAGTCTAATGTTTAATGTTTCATATTATAAATAAATAAAAAAAAATAAAAAAGATATATTTACAATACAATAAGTAGTTATGAACCTACATAAAATTTTAATAAATTATCTTTAATGAACCAAGAGTTTTTGCTACAGATTTATGATATATAACATTTTACATTAACATTTACAATCTAAAAAGTCTAATGTTTAATGTTTCATATAATAAATAAATAAATAAAAAAAATAACAAAGATATGTATGCAATGCAATAAGTAGTTATGTACTGTTATTAATGATCAATCATTATTATATTAATATAAAAAAGCTTACCTATCCAGTAATATTTAAAAACTCCATTTTACAAAGAACTTGCATTTAAATCGCAGTAAAATTCTACAGGGTGTCTGTAGAAGGTATTTGCAAAAACATACATAGATCATTTTTTTGTATGTTTAGGAAATAAAATAAAAGCCATATTTATTTGAAACAAATGATCATTATACCACATTTATTTCGATTAATGCAAAAAATAACAAATTAAATGAAAATAATATTAGTCATTTCAACAAAATCGATCATGAAACATTAAATAGAGATCTGAAAAAGGACCGACTTTTTTAACCGTAATGATCCCGAACAAAGGTATAATGATTTTATTAAACACTAAAAATACTAAACAAATTAAAAGAAATAATAACAAAAATTATAGGATCAAACGTTTGATTATTTTGGGCATAATTAAATTTATAAGGAAAAAAAAAAACAATATCTCAAAAATAAAAATAGTAGGTAATGAATTTCTGCAATAATTAGATCCCTGCAATAAATTGTTAGGCCCGGGCCGACCCGACCCGATCCTGATTTTAAATAGGTCAGCCAATACATAACGCCTACTAAATGCTGTGATTATTTCGCTGAATGATTTAATAAATAAAACGAATAAATTAATTTATTTAACTACTCTTAAAATGTTGTTATTTTTGGTTATTTCTATATATTATAACTAGTGGCTTAACCCAACCCGAACCGGGCGCATATTCGGAAACCGCCGACACGTTAGAGACTCGGATCGGTTTGGTATCGAAAATAACAGCCTCGTAAAATCTCGACGTTTTAGACTAAATACGAATATGCAAGTTTTTCTTTTTAAAAAAATGCACACGCACAATTTTATCTCTTATTTTGGCCCCAAGATAAGCCTAATTCAAACATATAAAAAATATTACCAAAAAACAATCTTTAAAAAATGAACTCAAAATATTTGTACAGAAAAGCTACAGCAAAATTAAAAGGGAAATATTTAATGTTTTATGTGAATTTCTTGTTATATAATTACATATTTATTTAATAAAAGCAATATTTACCTTTCTTCTTCAATATTTTAAGATCAAGAAGTGGTCTTCTTTTGCTTTTTTTCTTCATCAATTATTTCTATCTATGTCTAATATTCTTGGCAAGTTTATGTTTTTGTATTTTTATATTTTTGTATTTCTAAATTATTTATTTTGTTTCTATAGTATTCTAGATGTAATTTACTTTGTTTTAAAAGTTTTCTAATAAAAAAAATTAAAAAAAAATATATTAAACTTTTCTTCGGCGGGTCTTAAATATTGTTAAAAAAAAATGTAAATTTGATTTGACATAATGAATCAAAATAAGTCGATTTAAACTTACCTCAGTACAAAGTTATTTTTCAATTGGCACATAAAATTTCTACGCCAACGGTAGAAAATGGATTTGGGTATGACATTTGTATTGCGCAACTCATTTACTATAAAGAGGTACTCGATTATTCTGTTTTTTATATAAGTTTTTTAAATGTTTCGTTTTGTTGCAGAGCTTCAGTTAGAACCCCCGTCCGCTGCCCCCATTAGAAGCCGCCCCCCCGAACTCGCCGAAAAGATCAAATTTCCGTCGCCGCAACACAACAAACACTTGGTTTACATCATAGAATGGTAGAAGGTGAATCACCGAGAAATCAAAAGCAAGACTCTGATGTAAAAATCGAGCACGTGGCCAACGGCACCGGATCAAAGGATCTTGAGCTTGGAAATTTCGGTACCGTTAAAGAGCTACCAACCAAAGTCCTACCGGATGACAAATACTGTGACAAAGCTGATTTCGAAAAAGCCATCGAATTAACTAGGTTAGTAAGCAACCCTTTACCCTCTTAATCAGTAGACACGATTCATTTGACAACTCTTCATAGCATCAGTGGCTTAGAATAAATGCTACTCTTTTATTAATCAAGTTCCCTTTAGAGCTAGATAATTAATATATTGAAAATATAATAAGTATAATAGACACACAATCCAGTAAATTTTTGACCTCTATCGAAGGATTATTATATGTCCTAAAAAAATTGATAGCCCTCAAAACATCTTTATCATGATATTTGTTTGAATTATTTATAAGTAGATAATTTAATCATTGTCAAGTAAATTGTTATATATTATCTGTTATCTAGTAACAAAAAGTATTTAACTACAGGTTTGTTTTTTAAAAAATATACAGACTATTATAAAATAATAGCCATTTTCTCTTCAGAATCAGTTGGTGTTGTCCAAGCTACTCTTTTTACTGTCCTTGAGTCCTCCATCCTTTCTAAGTGCCCCAACCATTGTAACCTTTTTGACTGAATTATTTCGTATGTGTTGGGTTCGTTAAATATTTCGTAAATTTCTTTGTTTTCCCATCCTTCTTCTGTCTTTTTGCCTCCATATATTCTTCTTAGTATCTTCCGTTCCCATATTTCAATTTTGGTTTGTTCTTTCTTATTTAGTGTCCATGTCTCACTACCGTATAGCATTGTAGGTCTGATTATTGTTTTGTACACATATTTCTTTAATTCCCATGACATTTCTTTAGATTTAAGTAAATTATGTAATGCTCCTGCGCATCTATTGCTCTTTGCTAGACGGAGATCTATATCAGCTTGTTCTTCGCATCTATTTGTAATGAGAACACCGAGGTACATGTAACTGTCTGTTTCGTCTATTGTTATTTTTCCTATGGTTTTAGTTTGTAATTCTAGTTTTCCAGGATTTTTTCTTAAATGTTTGTTTTTCAGTTGCATGTACTGACTCTTTTTTTTATTTATTTTTAGCCCCATTGTTCCTGCCGCATCTAAAAACTGTTCTGTTATGTTTTTAAGTTCTTTTTGGCTTCTCGCTAACAATACAACATCATCGGCGTATATTACTATAAAATATTAAGTATCTATTTTTGTTTCAGATATGGAAAATTTCACTTTCTTCTGCTAGCAGTATGCGGTTTCGTAAGCACCTCGGAGGAGATGGACGTCATCTCGATGTCGTTCATCCTTCCTTCGGCTCAATGCGACTTAAACCTCAACACCCAAACGAAGGGTTGGCTCAACTCCATCATCTTCATCGGTATGATGGCAGGAGCCTATGTCTGGGGTTCTGTAGCCGATTCGTTGGGTCGTAAAAAGGTGCTTATTGTGAGTTCCTTCATGAACGCCATATGTATCGTAGCTTCTAGCTTCTGTCAAACATATGAGATGTTCATGGTCTTCAGATTTCTAAACGGGGCGGCGTAAGTATAACAAACTTTTAACCTGAAATATTACTGGGCTCTATTTTATTGGGAACAAATACCTACCTGCAAAGATGTAATTTTGCTGTATTTGTTTGTTTCAATAAAATGGGGTAATTTAATGTACCTACGAGTATATGCTAATCGTTTGTCGATTGTTTCAGATTAGGGGGCAGCGGACCAGTAATCTGGTCATACTTTGCGGAATTTCAACCTAAGTCCAAAAGAGGCTCTATGCTTTCATTCATGGCGGCTTTCTGGACTCTGGGTAACTTATTTGTAGCTGGCTTGGCATGGTTGATCATTCCAGCCGATATTGGTTTCGAAACCAAATACTTCGTGTATAATTCTTGGAGAATCTTCTTGCTCATTTGCGCTTTTCCATCATTCATTGTGGCTGCTTTACTGTGTTTCCTACCGGAAAGTCCCAAGTTCTTACTTACCCAAGGAAAACATGAAGAAGCTCTAGCTATTTTCAAATACATTTATCACGTAAATACAGGAAATGATGCCGAAGATTTTCCAGTGAAACACCTCATCTTCGAGCAAGAAGAACTAACCATTGAACAAAAGGCTAAGATTGCCAAAAGAGGAAAATATACAAATATGCTTGTTGATATTTTAGATAATAGTAAACAGTTGTTCGTTTCACCTATTTTGAAATTTACACTCATCTCAGTTACGATTAACTTTACCTTCCATATTGGGTAAGTAAATTTCAATATACCCTATTCAAACATATTTTAACAAGATAGCAAGTAATAGCAAGCAATAGCAAGTATGGAAAATAGTTTCTAATGAAAATTGTAATTTTCAGATACTACGGTCTCATGATGTGGTTTCCAGAACTTTTTAGCAGATTCGATGAATTCTCGAAAATCCATAACGGTGCAGAAGCTGGTGTATGTGAAGTAACTGACTATGTGGTTAACATGGGAAGTCACAGTGAAGGCATACTATGTAACGACAAAATTTCCTCATCTGTATTTATGGAGTCTTTAATTACAGTATCTGCTGCTTTGCCAAGTAACATCATAGCAGTTTTAGGAATGGACAGACTGGGTAGAAAATTCTTCTTAGGTAAATATAATTACTTATTAAAATTGTATTTTTATTACAGGCGATTTATAATACGTTTTTAACATATATTTTTTTGTGTTTCAGTATTCAGTACAGTCTCGTCCGGTTTATGTTCAGCATGTATGTATTTCGTTTACAACAAGACTCATAATTTGATAGTTTCTGCAGTATTCAGTAGTGTAATTTCATGTGGTAACGCAGCTTTGGATTCGCTCATCACCGAAATTTTCCCAACTCATCTCAGGTAATTTTTTTAGTTAATACTTTGTTTAACCTTCTGAAGTATATGTGTGGTATTAATTTTTGACTTTATTTCTTACAGGGCCACGGGTATAGCCATTTCGATGGTAGCAGCCCGGTTGGGTGGTATTATTGGTAATATCGTAATAGCCCAACTTCTCGACTTGTACTGTCCTGCTCCAACTTTCATCGTAACTGGGTTGTTGATTGGAGGAGGTCTTCTGTGCCTCTTCCTGCCAAACACCACTCAAAAACCACTTCAGTAAGACCACCAATTTGTATCCTTACCTCGAATCAAAATTTGTTTGAAGAGGGTTTTATATAACTGAAATATTGCCATTTTACCATGTTACCTGTTAGATGGGGTTCATTTTTACGATTGATCGTCAATTGGATACCTATATGTAGTGTAAACAATACGAACAAGCGAAAAATGAATCGTATTTACTACAAGTTGTAGATAAAATTTAACTTCATAAAATTAGTATTAGTAAAGTAAGCAGAATGTAGCCTAGTTCCTAGAGTTTATACATTTCCATTATGTATTATACTATTATAAATAAATGTTAATTTTATTCAGAATTAGAACGAATTTGTTTTATTATATAATTATTTATACAGATTCAGAAATTTTAACGCGCAAATGGAAGTGAGGTGAAAGTCGAATATACCATGCGCCAGGCCACATCTTAGCAGTTTTTGTTTGTTTCACGCGCGGTCGTATTATACCTTGTCCAATTTATTGTAAAATAGAGGGTACGCGTTTAGATTTCCGTAACAACTATAATTATTAGAAACCAAAAACAAGCAGCATACAAGCCTATTATGTCAGCGTTCAAGTTCGCAACATACGGAATTCTTTTTTTATTTATTAGTTTACTTTATTTTAGAGTTCATGAACAGTTTTTGCTACAAAAATAATAAAATATGAATAATAATCCACGTGCACATTAAATTTGAATACTTACCAACAAGTTTAATTGAATAAATTATAATTAAATTGATTTGACACAAGCACATGTAATTGCATTTAAAAAATAAACATTAATGATGTAATATAGTAGAATAGGTTAGACATGACAGATTATAAATTAAGTTTAAAAAATAAATAAAAAGATATACATAAATAAATAGAATATTCATCCTTGTGCAAAATGTTAAGCTGGCAAATGAACTAGTTATCCGCAACCAAGGAAAACCGAATCACACTGTAATCTACCGCACCAAGGTACCTTAATAATTCATTAATTCCATTTTATTAAAGAAAAGTTGCATTCTTATTAAATTCAAAATCCTTCATTTAACCAAAAATCTCCCAGATAATTAAATCTTATTTACGACACCTAATAAATAATAGCTATAACCCTGCCCGTAAGAGATCCAGTTTCTTACAAGTGCCTGGGAACTCGATCAAAAACCATCATACAACATAAGTTGTCACGAAGTAATAATCATTTAAATTCTTATCGCACCTATCTTAAGTCAATTTAATTAGGAACGTTGTTTTCGATACACAAACTTTTCAAGGCAAGTAATAAATCAGCCACCCCCTATCCGCCCAAAGTCGTTCACACGAGAAACTGACGTCACAAAAAGTAATTAAATCGAGTATAAAGATCCGATTTAAGGGGACTCGAAAGGCATTAAGAATTCAAACTCAGTTCAGTTGATTTCGAGCTCCAGCCGTATTATTCTTCAAATCTAGTATGATTCAAGTTCAGTACCTTTCTTAAACCCACGCAGTACCTTTATCCGACGCCCTTCAGCTCGACGACCTAACTCCCGAACGTTCCCACGTCTCGACGATCGACGTCATCTCATTTATCCGACGCCCTGCGTCCTTACTTCTCTACCTTTCTACGTTTGACGTTCTGCATCACGACGCTCTCTCTCTCTCCGTCACGCCGCTCTAAATTCCGACGCCTACGTCTCATCAACGTCCCTGCAAAATATCCCGACACAAGATAATGCTTCAGTACCGAATACAACAATATAAAATGTCTGAAATAGAAACAGATGATAATATACACCCAACGGTCTGCATATCCGATGGTGAGTTAAATTTGTAAAATGGGAATTTATTATTTAATATGAATGAGTATTATTGTGTTACTCATTATTATTCAATAATGGTCAACCTTTGTATTTGAGGAATTTGTTGCTCGCCGACATCGCATTTAGCTCGTCCAGATGTGTATGCGTTCAAATTAATATAAGATCGTAAAAGAAAATAAGGTCTGGCTACTGAACTGTCAATGAACCCTCGCAAATATCTACTAAATAACAACTCAGCTGATTGAGGCAAATGACACATCGGACGACTAGACTCACATTTTATCCGAATATTACTACATGGTTGGACTATGTTAGATAATTATCTCTCAATCTTCGCCCCGTAGGTAGATCTCAACATAAGGGGTAGTTCGCTGGTATTGATCTAGCACTATTCTAGTAGGACTACACTACATAAAACTCCCCTAGGTGAGGCTGAAACATAAGGGATATCCGCCTGTTATTGCAACGATTGTATCTCAGTAAGCGCACCTATATAAAAAAAAGAAACGACGAAACAAAAGAATTATTAAAGATACTGCAATTCTGAGGACGTCTGCTGTCTATTCTCAAGAATTTTTTTATTACATATATTTGATGGCAAGTGGTCTGTTTATTTGGGCGGGACACATGCGAGGTCTAAGTGAGAAATAAAATTTCACAATACCCAATATAAAAAGAAATTTTGTACATACTGAGTTTATTTGAGAACAAAGATAAATTAAGTTAAATATATTTTGAGCATTATTTCATTCACAAATTTGTACCAAACTTTGCATCGAATCCTGGTTTATCTTAATTAACATTATCACAACGTGGCTATATAAATTATCAATTAATTAACTAAACGATCACTACACTACTAGAGGAAAAAGGCCAAATACAGTAAGTATGAATTACTTTGAATTTCACAAGGAGAGCGAGGTAGTTAAATTAAAATACGGGCTTTTAACAATTAGCTACAAGACCGGGAGGTGGGCGGTTACAACACTCACATTAATTCATTTTTTTAAATTTAAACACATTCGAATAATAGTATATTATTCAACAAGCGGGTAACAGCTATTACCCTCGAGAATACTATATTTTTACTAAGATTATTAAATTAAATAAAAGAATCGAAAAATACAAGTATAGTTCTAAAATTAAATCCGAAAATGAGCTACATGCTAATGTAAGTTCGAGCATTGTTCAGGTGGTAAATCCAAAAATATATCACAATTATGAATTGTGAAAAATATGCCTGTCTATATTGTTTTTGGAAATCTATAATTTCTTGAGGCAGGTTGTTCCAGACTTCGAAGATTCTGTTACTTAGAAAATGTTTTCTCGTTCTTGTTTTGAAGTTTTCTTTCTGTAGTTTTAGCGAATGTCCACGAAGTAGGAAGTCAGTATTTAGAGGAAAAGCTTAATTAAGGTCGCCAAAGTTATCTTTTATTATTCGAAACGACAAAATTAGGTAATCGCGAAGACGTCTCTGTTGGAATGTTATAAGATTTCCCATTTCTAACCTTTCCTCGTATGATGGTCTAATGCGGCCAAAGGTAAGCCGGATGGCGCGGCGTTGAACCCCAGTATATATACCAATGTTGAACACATTCCAACATTTGTTGGTCGCCTACAAGGTCTAGATACCACACGGGTCGTGCGTATTCTAGGATAGGACGGACGTAGAAAGTCTGCACAACGTTTCAAACAACACTTTTGAAAATGTTTTTTGAATTAGGAATAATCTGGAGTTTGCGCGTTTGCACACATTAGCGATATGATCACTCGACGATAGATTAGAATCCCAGTATATATACCACTGTAACACTTAGATCGTTGTACGAGGACACTCTATTTAATGCATTCCTGTTGATTGAATATGGCAACTCCGGATTATTTTTACCAATATGGAGCACAACACATTTGTTTATATTTAGGGGCAAGAGCCAGTCGCAGCACTATGAATGGAAGTGCCTGATGGTCTTGAAGAGGGTTAGCAAATATTTTTGTATCATCGGCATAAAAACATATTGAGGATGCAACTAGCGCTTTAAGGTCGCGTACGTAAGCAGTAAGCAACAAAGGGCCGAGAACCGAGCCCTGGAGGAACACCACTTGAGTCTGGTCTTTCTAAGGAGAACTCGCTACCAACTCTTACTTTAAAAGCTCTGTCGGTTAGAAAATTTAAGATCCAATTATGAAGGTTACCGCGGATGCCTAGATGTTCCAGTTTATGAAGCAGTCGACGTTTTGGGACTCTGTCAAAAGCCTTAAAAAATCTAGATAAATGACATCGATAGGCCATCGTCAATGGATTTTGTCTAATTATTAATAAAATGGAGGAGGTTGATAAGAGTCGATCTTCCTTTAATGAAGCCGTGTTGTTGTTGAGATATAACATTTTCATGGATTAAAAAGTAGGACGTTTTTTCGGCAACAATTGATTCTATAACCTTGCAAATAACTGGTAGGAGGCTGATCGGGCGGTAGTTATTGGGATCAAGTTTATTGCCTTTTTTAAATATAGGAGTAACAGATGCAGATTTCCAGGAGGAGGGAAGAGAACTTAGAGTGAAGGATGTATTCATTATTATAGAAAGACAGAACGCCTGCGCATTTTTTTAAGAAATAAGGTGTTAAGTCGTCAAGGCCAGGGAATGAGTAAGCTTTAAAACATAGTAAATTATTTTTGATTTGGATTTCAGTAAAAAATATATTTTCAAGAGAAGCTAAATTACGTGTAGTAATAATATGGGGTAGTACATCGTTTGGTGGTTTGATAGTGTAGGCATTGGAGAAAGAGAGCGATAAGATCTTAGCTGTTTCGAAATTGGAGGAGCATAAACTTCCATCAGTCTTTTGAAAAAAAGGAGTTACCACTTTGAACGAGAGAGAAGGCCGGATGTATTTAAAGATTTTTTTAGTATATTAACACTGTTAGCGATTGATTCTTCGTAAGACTGTCTCGTAGAAGACAGATGCCGCTTGAGCTGGTTGTGTGTTATTTGTAAAGAGAAGGTCGAGTGTTGAAGGATCATTATTGATTCGGAAGCGTGTTGGTTCAAGAATAAGTTGAGATAGGTTGGAATTTTGAACAAAGTTCATAAAAAGATTTTTGGAGTTATTGCCGTTGGGAACATTCGTAATTGGCCAGGAAATATCAGGAAAATTGAAGTCTCCAATAATAATTGTGTTATCAAGAACAGATAAATCTTCAAGTTTTGATAAAAGCGTAATGGTGTCGCTTAAAAGAGTGTCACCGGGTCGATAAATACATGCAAGATGTACAGAAGTTAAATGTTTAGTAATTTTTATACCTATTACATCTATATTAGATATTTTTATGTGTACAGGAGATACAAAGAAATTATTTACAATATTTTTTGATAAGTAAATGCAAACGCCACCACCAATTCGGTTTTCTCGGTCGCTGCGAAAGATTGTGTATCCGTCGATATCAATTAGTCAGTCGCGAGTTGAGGTATTTAACCAGGTTTCACTGATAAGAATTATGTCAGGTTTAAGAAGTTGAACAATGCACATAACTTCATTATATTTAGCGTGAATAGAACATAAATTAGTGTATAAGAGAAACCAGTCAACGAGATAGGATGGAGAAAAGCTATCATTGGCGAAATGTAACAATTTTGGGCAGTCCGTTGACATATTTGATGGTTAGGTTATCTTCGCCATTGTTTGTTCGGTTTTCTAGTTCCTTACGTAAGTCCAGGAGGTATTGCTGTTGAATGGGGGTCTTATCGTCAGATCGACATGCTCCAGGTTGCATTTGCCTTAAATTATGCCTCCATAAAATATTCAAGAATCTGGTTCATCAAAATGTCGATGCACCATCACCAAAAGCTAATGAAATAACAACTCAGCTGATTGGGGTGAATGACAATTCGT